AGGTTGAAATGTATTTAATACACTACCTAACGAGTAAATAGGTTTCATTCATATCTGTGACATAATTGTATGATTGAATGAAATAGAAATTATTTTATACTTTTTAGTGCATTTTGAAGTCGGTGTATTTTTTTTCTTAAAATTATTTTATAGCCTTTAGCGAGGTAAGTGACTTGAGCAAACTCGCCCTCCAGGCTGACAAGATTGTGGAGATCACACGGCCCTGCGTTACCGCGGTGTAAAAGCCATTTGAAGAGGCACCCCCGGCGATAAACCATGTCTCGAGCGGTCTCGAGGCACAGCTTGCGCAAATCTCGGAACGTCTGCAGAAGCTGGAAACGCGCCAGTCGAGAGGACATTCAGTATCTAATAACTGGCATGGCTTTCGTCGAAACAGAAGTAAGAGCCGCAGCAGAACAAGAGGCGGGTACTGCTATAAACACTGGAAATTTGGCGCGGACGCATATAGTTGCCAACCGCCCTGTAATTGAGGACGGGACCGCCAGAGGAGTCAGGAAAACTCTTCGTCCGGAGGCCCACGGCGGCAGGCGTCTCCGGGACCAGGAAACGCCGCCTCATAATTAAAGATAGGATTAGCAATATAAGTTTTTTAATAGATACAGGCGCGGACGTGTCCATTATACCTGCGACGAGAGAGAAGCAGGCCAAACCCTCCGAATCGATATTGTTCGCGGCTAATGGAACGAAGATCCCAACTTTTGGAGAACAGCAGATGGACTTAGACCTGGGATTTGGACGCGGAATGCGCTGGGCATTCGTGGTTGCCGATGTTAGCCGAGCGATAATAGGCACGGACATTTTGTCCTACTTTCATTTGATTATCGACGTACGACGTCAGGTACTGATTGACGGTCAAAGTCATGTTGAGGTATGTGCCCATTCGGAGTATTCTGATTTTCCGACGATCCGTCGAGTGTCGGCTGACGGGCCATATAGAAAGCTGCTAGCCGAGTTTCCAGGGTTGCAGCGCGCGTCAGCGACACCGACAGGAAGCGCTCATAACGTAGAACATCATATTGAAACAACGGGACCACCGCTAACTGTCAAAGCCCGTCGATTGGCGCCTGAAAAATTTAAAGCCGCAAAGGAGCAATTTACGCAGATGATTAAGCAGGGCATCTGCAGACCATCAAAGAGTCCTTGGGCGAGCCCTTTACA